GGCCTGCCTGGGAGCGCGGTCCCGTGCCACGTCCCGTGCTACGTTCCCTGACGCGTTCCCTGGCACGTCCCCTGGCGCGTCGCCGGGCATGTTCCCTCGCACGTTCCGTGGCGCGTTCCGTGGCGAGTCCCCCTGGCACGTCGCGCGGCGCGTCCTGACACGTCCCGTGGCACGTCCATTGGCACGTTCTGTAGCGCGTCCCCTTGGCACGTCCCGCGGTGCGTTCCCATGGCACGTTCCCTGGCACGTCCGCTGGCGCGTCCCTTGGGACATTCCGCGGCGCGTCCCCCTGGCATGCCCCGCTGGCATCGCCCAACTGAAACGGTTCCATGCCGCGCAATTCTCAATCCCTTTCCGGGTTCGTGGGCGATTATGTTCGGACGAATGTGCGGGGCACTACAACGAGAACCACATTTTAAGTCGACCCGCCCTCCATCCGTGAAGCTCTTGCAACAAATTGAAAGGAATATGCGCGGCGCTAAAGCGAGAGCCACATGTTGAAAACCACCCGCCCTCCACCCGGTAAGCTTCTGCTAATTTCAAGCGTCAAGATCATAAATGGTGAAAGAATATGAAGCGAAACGCCTGGCTCGCCCCACCGACCCGCCTCGGGGTGCGACAGGGAAGAGCCGCTTATCCGCGGAGCCTCGGCCTGCTGGGGGTGAAGAGGCGTGCGAGACGATTGGCTACCCCGCTCCCGCTCTTCCCCCCTTACCCTGGGGCCCAACGTGGCAGATCGAAGGGGGGCCGGACGAGGGGGCGAACTCCCAAAGGTCTCCCCTGGGCCCCTGGAGCCTCTCCAGAGCTCCCAGGACACCGCAGGACAGCCCGGAGAGCCCAGACGAAGCGCCAAGACGGTGCAAGAAGGCGTCGTGGTGGCCCACGGGAGCCACGCGGCGACCCAAGCTGGCTTCGAGACGGCCCACGACGCGCCCAAGGGCCCCCAGAAACGAAAATCGGCACCCTGCCGTGGGGAAGCGTACATGTTCCGCATACTCGCCGTTGCGTCTCGACAGCGTCCAAGACGGCCCAAGAGCTCTCAAAAACGCACCGTGTCCACCCGAACACGGCCCAAGAGGGCCCCAACACGGCCCAATAAATTCCAAAAAACAACGCCAAAGAGCCCCACGAGAGGCCCAAAGCGGCACCAGGGGCCCTCTAGACGTCTCAAGAGAGGGACCCAAGAGAAGCCCAAGAAAGGGAATACGAACTGAGATTACGAGCTTTTCCCGCCAAGATGGACCCAAGAGCCCCCCAGAGGCCTCCCCGGCGCCCAAATACCTCGACAATCGTTCCACGAGGCTGCCGAGAGGCATCCCAAGAGACTCCAACATGCCTCCAATAGTCGCCTCAGAAGCTTCCCCAGTAAACACAAGCATTTAAAGAGCCTCCGTCCAACAGGCTACAGGTAGTGGGCCCCAAGCACCTGCAGAATTGTCACACGTTTGTTCCACTGCCACTGTGTTCGCTTCTTCCCCTCCCAAGCTACCGACTCCACACCACGACCAACAAATGTCGCCTGCCAATTCGCACCGGCCCGAAGCGCCGTGACGTCTCCCTCGAGACGGTCTCGGGTAGCCCATCGACGGTCCAAGACGATTCGAGACGGCCCACGAGGCCCCTAGACGACCCAGGAATACTCCCAGAGGACCAACCAGAGGGCCCCAAGAGGCAAACATCGTCACATTGCCTAAGGAAACGTGAGTTGCTAGCATACTCCCTTTGTTTATCTTGGCAGCGTCCACGACGGCCCAAGGGGTCCCCAAGGTCGTTCCAACAAGGCACAAGAGCCCCAAGACAGCCCGAGAGGTGTCGCAGGGGCCCCCAAGACGGCCCAGGAAAGCCCCAAGAAGGCCCCAAGAGGAGCCCAACAGGGAAGATACGGACTCTCATTTCGAGCCTTTCTCCCCAAGATGGCCCGAAGAGACCCCCCACGCCCCCGAGGTGCCCACAAGAGAACACAAGAGGCCTCCGAGGCGCTCCCAAGAAGCCCCCAAGAGGCCCACAAGAAGGCACGAGAGGCCCCACTCCCACAGATACCCCTGGAGCCTTCAAAGTGGCACCATGAGAGGCTTCCCACGAGCCCCTCATATGCATCCCCGGTGCTCCTGACCCACTGGGTAACTTCCAACATTGTCGCAGGCAGGTGCTGTTTCTGGGTGGGGTCGGCGGAACGGCGCAATCCACTTGAGTCAAGAAGAGACACGAAAGAGGAGGCGGAGGAGGAGAGAGGGAGGGAGCGAGAAAGGAGGAGGATGAGGAGGGAGGTGGACGGGGAGGAGGGGGACGACGACCAGTGTAGAATCAAGACGCATCAACGATGTTGCAGTACATCTTCCGTCCTAGCTTCCTCTTCGTAGGCCCCTGTCAGAAATTATTTTCATTGCGGGAAATGGCCCATTAGGTTATGACCTTCCGAGAATCATTCAGCGTGCCAGAACGCGACTCCCTGGACTTCAACGCCACGGATCAACGTGACTATTGCGTCCTGATGGTCCTAAACCGTGCCAGACCACAAATGCTGGGACTTCAGCGCAGCGATTCACATGAATGTTCCGTCCTAACAGACCTCGATCGTGTCAGCATACATTTCCTGGGAGTTTAGCCATACGATCCCTTGAACATGCCACAAGCTCTGATATCGAATGTGCACGGCGCTGAGACGAGAGCCACCTTTTGAAAAAGGACCGCCCTCCATCCTCTTGCAAACTTTAACACTATGCATGTGGCGCTGAAGCGAAAGCCACATGTTGAAAACCATGTCCTTCATCCTTTGGAACTCCTGCACACTTTGATTATGAATGTGCTCTGCGCAAAAACGAGAACCACTTGTTGAAAAGAGGACCCGCCATCCAACCGCAAAAACTGCTGCGGTCCTTTCAATCGAATGTGTGCGTTCCTAGGGTGAGCACCACATTTTGAAAACGGCCCGACCTACATTTTGAAAACGATCAGACATATGGTGAGCAAGTATCAAGCGAAATCCCTGCCCGTCCTACCGACACGTCTGGGGTGGGAAGGCGACAGGGAGGAGATGTTTACAATAGGAGCTGGACCACAAGAAAACTCCAACAAGAAACACAACCATTGGCATGGGCTTCCACTGTATGCAACAAGGGGCGGAGGAGGAGGAGGAGGAGGAGGAGGAGGAGGAGGAGGAGGAGGAGGAGGAGGAGGGGGAGGAGGAGGAGGAGGGAGGAGGGAGGAGGAAGGAGGAGGGGCAGAGACGGGGGAGGAGAGGAGAGAGAGACGGGATGGAAGAGAGCCTCACCACGGCGCAGCGGAGGAGGGCAGGGAAGAGCTCGGCGAGGCGAGCGGCGCAGGGGCGGCGGCGGATGGCTGTGAGCGGCAGGGGGGGGGGGCGCGGGGCAAGCCTGGGAGGCGCGGCCGAGCGGACGGCCACACTGGGATTCCCCAACCCCGCCGCCGCCACCCCACGACTCTGAAGAGGGGGAGGTGGGGGCGTCGGCTTCGCTCGGGAGGCCCCGAACGCAGGGAACCCCGCCTCCCCCCCGTAGCACTCGTGGGAGGGCGGGGCAGAGGGCCCGCAGGCGGCCCTCCCGGTCGAGGGGCCGGGGGGCCCCAGGAGGGCCCCGCAGGCCTGTCCGCGAGCGGCGGCCGTCTCCACGGAGCCGTGCCCCCTCGCGGTGCGGGCCCCTGCGGCGCGGTCTCGCGGCCGAGAGGTGTGCCCTGGGCGCGGGGCCGCGGATGCGTGCGCGTGGCCCGCCCCGCCCGCGAGTGGCCCACGGGGTCGCGGCGGAGGGGGGGAGGCCCGAGGCAGTGGCCACAGGGCGGTCACGATCTCATCGGCTGGCCGTGTCTCGGCCGTGCGACAGGCGCAGCTTGCCCACGCCTTGCTCGAAGGGTCGATCGAGGCGCTCGTCGAACTGAGCCCCCGGCCAGAGTTTCAGGCCCGACTGGCTCGGAGCGGATTCGGCGCTCGAGCAGTTGACAGCCAGCGAGGACCCCTCGATTACAATCTTGACTTAAGTCAACTGCCGATTCAGCCGCCGTGCATTCCAGCGTGGCCCATCCTTGATGCCGGCCCAAGATGTCAACTCTCAGAATAACAAGCAGCGGCATGAAGGTGAGGGCTCGGGACGCAAGCCCTCGAAAGGAGCTGGCGTTGCCAGGCCGAGACTGAAGGAAGCCATGGAGCCGTCGACCACCAAAGAGCTAGAGATGTGAGCATGATCGCCAGCCCAAGTGACGCGTCCTGGGATTCGGGCGCCCCTCCTGGCCTTGCGATCTATACCAACCTTGGAACTGGCGCACTCTCTGTCTCTCATTCGCTCTCAATCGCTCTCTATATGTGCATATATATGTATATATGTTTGCCTCTGTACGTGTATGCTTATTGTAACGTAGCTACATGTAAACAGATATGCATATATGCATCCATACACACATACATACATACATGCATGCATGCATGCATGCATGCATGCATGTATGTATACATACATACATACATACATACATACATACATGCATACATGCATATATATACATACATACATACATGCATGCATACATACATACATACATACATACATACATACATGCACACATACATACATGTATATATACATGTACATATACATGCATACAAACATACGTACCCATGCACGTATATGTATACATATTGGTATACAAACATACATACATACATCCGTACAAGCATACATTCATACATACATATACAGTAACATACATATATGCATATATGCATAGTTACAACCACCTAAACATATACACATATATTGCATATCTGCATATACAAATACACATGCACCTACGCATATACGATCATTAACATAAACATAAACGCATACACACATTCATATACATATATGTACAGATGCAACTACACATACACATGCATGCACATATTCATGAACACATGCATTTACATAAACATATCCATGTACACATACCTATGCATATAGACACTCCTATACACATGTATATATATACATATATGTATGATAATACCTATACCAGCTCTTACCATCTCCAAGTGTTTGCCCTTGCGCAAGGCGGTCCAGATCAGAACTGGGTCAACAACACAGCAGCTAGCCCCCTGTCAGGCCAAGCCACACGGAAAAACACACAGGGAGGGAGAGGGAGAAGGACTGTTCGACCATCATGGCGACAGCATCCTTTGCACCATGCACCTCTCAACGGGCTCCGGGGGCGCGTCGCCATCCCAGTACTCGATCAGGACATCGTCGGCCTCCTCCGGCGTGTCCTCGACGACCGTCGCACGCCTGGGCTGTACCTCGCCTTGGGCGAACACCCAGACTGCCTCGCGCTCCGCATAGGCCTCTCGCTTCACCTCGTGCACCATGCCCAGCGCCCTCGCGAGCATGGCGTAGACGCACGTTGACCCCCGCTCCTGCGCCAGCGTCAAAAGGTCCTTGCCCGCCTTGTTCTCCCACCCGGTCCTGGGGCGCCGCGGGCGCCACGCCAACGCTGGACCCTGGACAAGCGCGCTCCACTACTCGCAAGTCAACTGTTCGCACATGGCCTGGATGCGCCGCGGGGCGATAAGTTGCACAGAGGAAGACCTGTTTGTTTGTTCGGACGTTTGCGAGCAGGCACTTTGCGAGTGGTGAAACGCGTTCGGCGAGACCCTGCGAGACCCTGCGAGCCCTGCGACCCCGCTGCCCTCCCAGCAACGCCAGGAGGCCGGGTGCACCGCAGAGAGGGGGCCAGGCAGCGGGGGGGCAGGGCATGCTTCCTCCTCCTCCTCCTCCTCCTCCTCCTCCTCCTCTTCCTCCTCTTCCTCCTCCTCCTCCTCCTCTTCCTCCTCTTCCTCCTCCTCCTCCTCCTGCTCCTCCTCCCTCTGTCCCTCCCTCTCCTCCCCCACTCCCCTTCCCGGCCGCCACCCTCCTCGAAGCCCCCCTCGGGGTATCCGGGGGCGGAGGTGCCGGCCAATGGACTGACCTGTTCGCTTCGGGCAGGCCCAAGCGCACCAGTACTGCGCCTGCTACTGCTGCCAACGGTGATGCTGCGACGATGCTACGAAGCAGTGCTGCGACGATGCCGGCGCCGGCTGGGAATGCCGAGGAATAGGCACGGACAGCTAGCATTGGCACGCAGGTAGGGACCAGGCAGAGATGCCCCAGCGCAGCCGATCGGATTGCTGAAACTAGACGCGGACGACGGGCGTACAGTATAGGCCCGACCATAAGAAACCTTCCACAAGAAGCCCAACCCTGATACCCCTGGACGTCCATCGATGTTTGGTGTGGGAACGTCACGCTTTCCACAGCAAAACAATCGAAACCCGCGAAATCCAGTGCACCCTTAAGGCAAGCAGGGTGTTCCTTGGTATGGGTCTCCTCCGTACCCCAACGCAGCCTCTAGGATTGCCGAGACTAGGCACGGACGACGGGCGTAGCGCCCGCGCGAGCCCCCCCCACCCCCCCGTTCGGACCTGCTCAACCGACGGGGTCAATTCATCCCTGGGGGCGGGGGGGATGAGGAGGAGGAGGAGGAGGAGGAGGAGGAGGAGGAGGAGGAGGAGGAGGAGGAGGAGGAGGGAGGAGGGGGAGGAGGGGGGAGGAGGAGGAGGGAGGAGGAGGCGGAGGAGAGGAGGAGGAGGAGGAGGAGAGGAGGAGAGGAAGGAGGAGGAGGAGGAGGGGAGGAGGAGGAGGAGAGGAGGAGGAGGAGGAGGAGGAGGAGGAGAGAGGAGGGAGGAGGAGGAGGAGGAGGAGGGGGGGGGCGATAACCCCGGCTCTCACCCTACCCCGAGGCCCCGAAGTAAAAAGCACTCTCGGAGCACATGGCGGCCAGAGGCACGTGCGCAGACGAAGGTGGTGGCGTATGGGGATGCGCATGGATGCGATGAGGGGTCCACGACATATCTGGGAGGCGTCACCGTGGCCCTGGCCATGACATCCACACACATACACGCACACGCGCACACACACACACACACACACACGCACACACACACACACACACACGCACACGCACACGCACACGCACACGCACACGCACACACACACACACACGCACACACACACACACACACACACGCACACACACACACGCACACATACACACACGCACAAACACACACACACACACACACACGCACACACGCACACACACACACACACGCACAAACACACACACACACACACACACGCACCACTCGTCACCCCGCGGATGGCGCGAGCACCACTCCCGGATCGCTCCAGGCCAGAAGCATCGCAGGCCCTGCAAGCAACAGAGCACATGCTGTAGGGCACATGTCGGTCGTCGGCTTCTGGACTGTATAACGCCTCGGAAGACTATTGGAGAAGGTAGTGGTGCCTCCCCAACGCTCTGGGCGAGGCGCAGCTGACAGGTCAGGATAGGTCGGGGCCTTGGGCAACACCTACCCACCGAACTGATAAAGGCTGGCCCAGGCTGCTAAAACCGCGAGACTGCCACAAATAATGTGAAGCAGCCTTCGCGAGGCCTATCACGTGTACGGCGAATGACAAGTGAGGGTCACTACGCATATGACCCGTGATGCCCTTGGAGACCTGTGGACGGTTCACCCCTCAAAGAAACCCGCAAGCAGCAGAGTGCTCTGGCAGCGCCAATCCTGATCAGCAGCAATCAAGGAACGCCAGAACAATGAGCAGGGGACAAGTATCACTTGCAACAAGTGAGAGAGAACAATCAGCAACCACGACAAGATAAGCAACCCGCGATAAGGCACAGGCAATTCGCAGTGGCAGCGGCGGCCACGAACACGACGGGGGCCACAGCGGCCATGGTCGCAGCAGCGCCCACGGCGGCACCAGCAGGCCAAGGACACCACGGCGGCAGCCACGGCGGTAACGAGGGCACCCGGGGCACCAGGTCTAGAACAACAAGCAGTTTCACCAGATGCGGGGGCCACCCCGCCCCACCCGTGCGGGCGGATAGCACGAGGCCGCTGTGCCCAGAAGAGCGCGAGGAGGAGATGCTGAGCTCGAGAACCGCACAGGATCACCTGCCTCACGGCACGAACTTCATGGGAGGAACAGAAAGCGGCATCACCAGAAACTCTTGGCGGCTCGCGCGGAGTTCTTGGCTCTGCGCCAGACCTCCCTCCCGGGCGCGCGGAGCGCGCCACCGGGGGCGGCCCTCCGGCGCCGCCGGGGGTGCCCGGGCTCGGATCCCGGAAACCCGCGCGGAGCACGAAAGGTTTCTCTATGCCTGCTGCAGCCTGTCTCCTTCGAGCTCCGCTGGCCTCCCGCCCGCGGAGGCTGGCCCCCCGCTGGCCATCGCTCCGACGCCCATTTCCCGTGTTTTCGTTCGGCTTCGTGCGTGGCCTTTTCGCGCAATGGTCGAGGATGCTCCTCGATGTGACTACGTACCAGACCACCCCAACCCAACCCGAAGACCCGAATTTCGGGTTGGGGGGGGTAAGGGTTCCACGCGTGTTTTTTCGATGTTCCCCGACCCCCCCCCAACTGGAAATCGACAGTAAATTTGAGCCTTCGGGTTGGGTTGGGGTGGTTTGGCGGGTGGTGACGATGGTCCTCGCCGAGGGAAGAAAATGCGCACGTCCGAGCGATGCCAAGCCCGTCCTCCACTCTGCCGCCCTCTCCGCTGGCCTCTGCCGCCGCCTTCTCCGCCGAGGGGGAGAGGCGTCGGCACACCTCTCTCGGCCCCCAAGGAGGCCGAGGCCCGCTCTCCGGAGTGCTCCTCAGCAGTGGAGGGAGGCAAAAACGCCCCTCCCCTGGGTTAAACAGGTGCGTGGTCTGTACTCCAGATTTCGTAATAAAAGGGAGGGGGTTCTATTCTATTCTATTCTACCTCTATGCGTGGTGACCTGCAGCTAGGCGGGGCACGCTTAAAAGGGAGGGGGTCACAACCCTCCCAGACGAGAAACCCTCCCAGACGAGAAATTTGAGATCCCCCCCGGCCATCCACGAAAGGGCGGTCCTTTTTGCCCAGACCCCGCCGAACCCTCCCAAACAGCTCAAATTAGACCCCCCCCGAATGTGACCCCCCCCCATTGTGTTATGGAATCCGGAGTAAACCTCCTGGGAGCTCTTCCAAAGGCCCGAGAGCCGCCAGGACGCCGCGCGACACGCGCGACGTGCAGGTGTCACCCTGTCAGCCCACAGGAGGTTCAGTGCGCAGCACCTCGGAAACCAGGGTAGTGGCGTTTCCTACGCCCTTCATGGCAGGAGATATGTCGATCCCTATCCCAGGCTTTGGGGGCGTCTCGAACGGACCAGGAACTTCGGGCCCAGCCCCCTGGGATATACGATGGGGGGGGGGGCGCCCATCCTCGACCGGGGTGCGTCCGACTGGCCCCCTGGGGGTATATCCCAAATCGGGGATGGACAGACCCCCCCTTAGTAAAACGTGGTTTAGTGAAAACGACCTGAGGCCCAAACCTGGCGGGCGCAAGCCTGGAAAATAACGGCCACGGCTCCCTCTCGAGAACCGAAAACGGACAATTCACTAATCGACGTGTCACTGTTGGGGGTTCTGTCCACCCCCGACCAAAGCTTCCCTCCTTGTCTGATCGGCTTCCTCGCTCACCGAAACGTTGGGGGCCGGGGGAGCGAGCCCCCTCTGCTCTGGAGCGCTGAAGGCCGCCTCGGGCTGCCGGCCTGCGACCGCCACGCGCACCGACAGGGCGGCTGGGCCCCCCCCGCCCCGGGCTCCACTGCAGCGACGGGACGCGCCCCAGCCTTAGAAGCACCCCGACTCCAGGATCTGGGATGGCCCACAGCAGGAGCGGTCAGCATCGGAGCTATGAATTGGATCGGGCAGGAACGGGCACCGAATCCGGGAGAGCCAGCACGGAACCAGGATCGAACAGGATCGGCCGCGCCAGGATGCACAACAGCGCCACGCACGCATCGGGCCGCATCGGGTCGTCGGAGTACGGCAATCGGCTTGGCTCGGGCTGGCCGACATCGAATCGGATCAATCGAATCGGCATAGACCCTGAATCTGGGATACTTGACAGCTCGACCACGGTTCTGCGATCACCTGCCGGCGGGACGTCCTGCCCCAGAATGCGGAGGCACACCGCCGACTCGACAGGCCGATCGGCCGGCACAAGGACCCCCAACGAACGATTCGACAGAGCTGGAAGTCCAACGTGCTGGGGAGAGGG